GGTAAATCAGCACTTAGAATTGCAATTAACAATTTCATTGGTGCCGGTGGGGATCAAACCCAGTTTGCTCGCGTACTGTGAAATTTACAGCGAGCGCTAACCATCTGAGCTACCACGGCTATTGTTGCTAGAGTATTTAGATTAAAAGTACAAAAATTAATGTATGTAATTAACAAAGGGAAAATTTTCGAAGAGGTGCAGTGCGTCATGTATTCAATTGAATGGCAAAAAAGAGGATTACCGCATGCCCACATTCTAATATGGCTTAAACAGAAGTTGCGGCCCAGCTAAATAGACGACATAATAAACGCCGAGATTCCGGATCCTGAGCAAGATAAAGAATTGTATGATACCATCGTCCGAAATATGAATCACGGTCCATGTGGAGCACGAAATTAAATATCGCCATGTATGAAAGAAGGAAAATGTACAAAGAAATTCCCTAAACAGCTATTAAAAGAAACAGTGCACAATGACAATGGCTACCCTTTATACAGACGCAGAGCTCTCGAAGATGGTGGCAGGAAAGTTACAATCAAATCTCTCTCTGGAGCGTTCGAAACCTTAGATAACAGCTGGATTGTCCCGTATTCGTCCATTCTATGTAAAATGTTTAATGCCCACATTAATGTAGAAGCATGTAGCTCTGTCCGCGCAATCAAGTATATCTGTAAGTACATAAATAAAGGAAGCGACCAAGCAATATTTAATCTCAGGAGTGAAGGTGAGGCAAATCCCGTCAATGAAGTACAGACCTTTCAAGCGGGGCGTTATGTCAGCAGTAACGAGGCAGCGTGGCGTCTCCTTGGCTTCCCTTTACACGAAAGGCACCCAACAGTTACTCACCTTGCTGTGCACTTAGAAAATGGAGAGCGTGTATATTTCACCGAAAGAAATTTCCAAGAAAAAATTGCATCACCGCCAAAAACTACACTAACAGCCTTCTTTCAACTTTGTCAAACCCCCCTTTGCACGTGTATATCTGAAGTCCCCCGCTATTATACTTGGAACACATCTAGGAAGGAGTGGAAACGCCGTATTCAAGGCGCGCCTGTTGCAAATTGGCCCGGTGTAAAGTCATCAGATGCCCTTGGTCGTGTGTATACCGTCCATGTAACTAATTTTGAATGTTTCTGTTTACGATTGCTGCTGCACCATGTTCGAGGTCATATAGGATATAACTATATAACTATATATAGAGCTTAAAACTGTCAACGGTCAGGAATGCGCAACTTATAGAGAAGCATGTGAAGCTGTACATCTTTTAGAAAACGATAATCACTGCGATGAAACCATGGAGGAAGCTGTGCAGTGCCAGTCACCAGCCAAAATTAGGGATCTTTTTGCAACTATCTAATGCACATGAATTGTGGGACAAATATAAAGAGTACATGGCGGAAGATATTTTGCGAAGGTTACAGCAGACACACGCAAACATGACATACAATGAACATATTTATAATGAAGCACTTGGAAAAATTGAAGATAAAGTAATGGCAATGGTAGGCAAGAAATTAAGCTACTTTGGAATGATAAGCCCTCAGCGAACAACCGAAAATGAACTAAGTGATGAAATTATACGTGAAACAAACTACGATATACCAGCTTTGCAGCAGCAGGTAGCCGAATTTATACCCCGCTTGCTTCCGAACAAAAACGTGTTTTTGACAAAGTATTAGGACAAATTGAATCTGGAAATGGTGCACTTTTCTTTTTAGATGCCCCTGGAGGAACTGGGAAGACATTTTTGTTAAATTTATAATTAGTGCAAGTACGGAAAGATAAAAACATTGTTGTGGCCGTAGCTTCCTCCGGTATAGCCGCCACGCTGCTAAGCGGGGGCCGTACTGCACATTCTGTTTTAAAACTCCCTCTAAATCTAGCCCAGGAAGAATCGCCGATCTGCAACTTTAGCAAAAATAGTGCACGAGGTATAATGCTACGACAATGCAAACTTTTAGTGCGGGACGAAAGTACAATGTCGCATAAAAAAGCTGTAGAAGCATAATCGAATGCTCCAGGATTTGCGCAGCAATACCGATGTAATGGGAGGAATGGTGGTTTTACTGGCTGGTGACTTTCGCCAAACTTTACCTGTCATTCAAAAGGGCACGCCTGCAGATGAAATTAAAGCATGCCTCAAGTCGTCTATTTTATGGAACAAGGTGACAAAATTCAGTTTAAATACGAATATGAGAGTGCATTTGTATAATGATATCAATGCTGGAAACTATGCTGACACACTATTAAAAATTGGCGATGGGCGGTTGGAAACGGATGCTGAGGGCTGCGTTAAATTGACGAGAGATTTTTGTAATTTAGTACAGAGTCATTCCGAATTAATTTATTCAGATTTAACGAACATGTTGTTCGTTAAATCTGAATCTGCGTTCGTTCGCATGAAGACAAATGGTTATGTGAAAGGGCGATTCTTGCACCAAAAAATGAGAGCGTTAACAAAATAAATTCAGATATATTAAGCGAAGTAGCAGGAGAAATAACAGAGTATTTGTCAGTAGACACAGTTATGGACACAGAACAGAGCACTTCATATGCCGTAAAGTTTCTAAATTCTCTAGAATTGTCAGGTGTGCCCTCACACTACAATTTTGACAGGCGTAGGAAAAGGTGAAAATGTTATTATACCACGGATCCCTATAATTGCCATAGATCTTCCTTTTCAATTCAAAAGGTTGCAGTTCCCTATTAAGCTCAGTTTTGCAATAACAATTAATAAAGAGCAAGGGCAAACGTTACAGGTAGCGGGGGTCAACATAGAAAAGCCGTGCTTCTCTCATGGTCACCTGTATGGAGCATGTTCGCGTGTGTCTAATGCCCAGAATCTCCACATTCTTTCCCCGAATGGAAAAACATATAACATTGTGTACAGTAGCGTCTTAAAATAGTGTTCAGTTAGTTTTTTTTTTCCAAAATTCCCACAATTAATTAATCAGAATTCCCACAGATCTTCCCTTTTCAATTCAAAGTTTCCTATTTAGCTCAGTTTCTTTTCAATTCCAAATGCTGCACCTCTGACGGACCTATTAAGCTCAGTTTCCTTTCAACTCAAAAGGCTGCATCTCTGACGGATCTTTTATTTGGCTCAGTTTCCTTTCAATTCCGAAAACTGCATCTCTGACGAATCAATTTAGCTCAGTTTCTTTTGAAAAGTCTGCATCCCTGACGGATAATTATGCTCAGTTTCCTTTAATTAAAAAAATATCCCATTTCCATTTGAAATAAACAGGCTATTTTCATGCTTTCCTATACGCTGCGTTTCAAAACATTTAAATAGGCTGACGAATCAATTTTGCTCAGTTTCCTTTTAATGGCTACATCTCTGACAAATCTATAAAACTCAGTTTTCTTTCAATTCAAAAAGCAAAGGATAGTTCATTTCCCAGTGACCATGCGGGCGAAGCCGCGGATAACAGTTAGTATTGTATAAACCGATTTTCAATTGCAAGGAATTGTTATTTGGACATGAAATAAATATTTTCGGAGTTATGAATTTTTAAAGGTATTAAAAATCTTAAATTCGGATAAAAAATGATGAAAATGTATAAATTAAAGAATAAAATATAAAAGATATTTTTTATATTTTTTGATGAAATACGAATTTAAAAGGTCCTATGAATTTTTACAATAAAGTTAATATTTTCGGATTATGAATTTTCAAATGTTTGAAAAATCTCAAGTTCGGATACTTTTGACTCTGATGAAAAATAAAAAAATAAAATATAAAAGATATATATTATATATTCTTTACACAATAGTTTATTAATATCAAGAATTTAAAAAAGAATCGTAAGAATAAAAAAAACATTTTTATACGTTCATATATTTATATCTAACGATTGCCTGTGTGTTATTCCGCGTGGAATTTAGTAATAGATTTTAAACTAACTTCCCGATGAGCTCAAAACCTGAAATTTTAAATATAGCGGAAATTTGGATTACAATGCAAGAATATGATAAAAAAACGTAGTAAAAATTAAAAAAATATATTTAAAATTTCACTTGTTAGTGTCCTAATATCCTTAACCATGTGTCTTTGCTTATCTGAATTTTTAACAAATTTTAAATAACGACTCGATAGCTCAATTTGCTATAAGCGTTTGGTTGCGTAGTTGAGCGGTCGCGGGTTCGAATCCCGCACGAAATAAGTGTTTGTATCTGTTACAAATAACAGTTCCGGGTTTAGACGTTCATGTGGTAGAGCCACGAAGCTAATATATTATGGCTGAAGCACGAATGGGCGACTCGATTTAGATAGGACCACACTTATAAAATTCCAGCGTGAAATAGTATCTAACTTAATGCTGCTTTGTTTCGTATCGATAACGTACAGAACCGAAGACCCTTATTGCTGGTAATAAGGCAAGTCCTTCTAGGAGATGACCATTTTTACATTTTCAGTTAATCGGGGATAGATGTAGGCTATCTATGGGTCACAAAGTTAACTAGCCATAAGGTGGAATCAAAATGCAGTTACATTGCCACCCCTCAGGACAAGACTGCTCTGTCACCAGAAAAAGGTTCTGGGATCTGGTCACTCACTATGATGAAACAAACTCGAAACAGCAGCGTTATGCCGGTATATCATATTGTTATAGAGAACGAGCATCATTTATAAAATATGACATGATTTTTCTGAGTCATACAGGTTTCCTCACGATGTTTTCCTTCACCGCCGAGCACGTGGTAAATCAGCACTTAAAACTGGAATTAACAATTTCATTGGTGCCGGCGGGGATCGAACCCGGGTTCTTTGCGTATTGTGATATTTACAGCGAGCGCGATGTGATGTTTACAACCATCTGAACTACCACGGCTCTTAAGAACTATATTATGATCCGTGCAATTGATAGATTTTGATAATATTAACATTGTCGGCATGTAACTTCGTTTTCGGCGTGGAAAAATCTTAAATATTCCATAGATAAGTTAGTGTCTTTAACATAGCATAAAAATTATATTTTGTATAAATGTATAAACAGAAAGTTGTTACGAGAGGAGTACGTGCCGCCCTACTTTCGCAATGTGCTGGGAGGAGCGGCGTGGTGGGATCTCAACCAAGCAGCTGGAGACGCGGTTGCCATTGCTGAGCAAAATGCCTGTGGTTGCTTGTTCCGTGGGGACCCTTCAGGAGCCGCCACCACCACTGACTATATTGGCGAATAGATATTAATTATTTGAGTTTTTTCATTTATATTAATTAAAGTTTTAAAAAGTTGTGTTTTGTTTTATAAATCTGCGAATCCAAAAAAGTAGTAAAGTAAGTAAGAAATGCCTATGGATGAGAGAATGAAGTATGTTAAATATATTTTATGTATTACATATAATTGTTTGAGGTGCCCCAGCACGAAGTAATACAAAAAAAAAGTACCTATAAATTCGTTCATTTTTGACAACCCCATTCATATGTACATGTAAAACCTCTAATAGTTTATTGAAATAGTGTTTTTTATGTTGTTTAAAGCTTACATTTTATATAAAAATTAAAAAATTGAATAGTATGGTGCTCCAAATCCTCTAAAATAAAAAATACATAATTTTGCAATAAAAATGCAATTTATATTTATTAAAAAAAAATACAAAACTGAGTTTAGTATTAAAAAAGCATCACCTAACACGACATGACAACCTTGTTTATCAAGGGGTTGTCATGTCGTTCGTTTTTCTTCCCCAATTAGGGTCAGCGCACACCGAGACGAGACGAAACGCAACGCGAAGCGACGCGGCGTGCTCTTTTAAAATAGTGATACAAAATATAACTTTATTTACTACACAGAAAGAAACACATTTTATTGGGATGCGACGCGGCGTAGCGAAACCACTAGTCTCTTCAAGCATCGCCTCGTCACTTCGCGTCGCGTTGCGTCTGTGTGTGAACTGACCTTTACAATACCAGAAGCTCGGTTACGTAGGTACTTGATGTAAAGCCCCACAGCTTGAGTAACAGGAAATCAGGAAAGTGCTTTGTTATCTTTCGTAAGGCTTCAGAACATAATTTTTTAGGTAAAGGTGGCTCAGTAATTTTAATATTGTGCCAAGCAACGATATCAGATCGAGTGTATTGAAATTAACTTCTGGCCGTCTCATTAATTGTCATCACTATTTCAATGATTATTTGAACAAAATGATGGATCCTGTCTCCAACGAAATTGATATTTTTTTCCTTGCGTAAATCTTCTTATAGCTGCGACAGTTATACGAGACAAAGTTATACTTAAATGAACTAGCATGCCGACGTATTCTGAAAGCAAAGTTAGATATATTACCAACCTTACCACTGTTAATGGCAGAGATCGAATAGATATTTTTATAGGAGCCGAGTTCTTTAGTAACATGGGAAAGTGTTGCGGTTAAAGAACGAACTTAAAACTTTTTTTCTCATGTTGTTGCAGTTCAGATCCTATTAGACCTGAAAAACATCGAGGTCCTGTAGTTTGACCATCCAAATATTCTAAAAAGGTGACGTATTGGCAATTTGTTTGAATGTAGAGCACAGATATACTAATGTTACGGGTTTTTTTTTTATTTCTACATCTAAAAGTCTAATGACACCACCTTCAGATCCTGTATTTAGTAATGGTCCATTACAACCCACTACTGGTAAAGCACTCAAGTTAATCGATTTACTTTTTTTACACTATCTCCGATTGTCTTTTTTGTTTCCGAATTAATTATGTTAATTATATTCTATCTGCCGTTTTCCATATTATTTCTTGACTGTTACCAAAGTTTTGTCTTTTCTACCATCAAAGTAAAGACGAGATTTATCAATATGACTTTCCACAATGGTTAATGCTATAGAAAACTATAACAATAAAGTTAAGTTACACGACTTAGAGTTGATTTGTTTTCTATAGGTAGCGTTAAAGATCGTAGAATATCATCTTGGCTAACACCGGAGCATCAGTAAATTTCGGCTTATGTCTTGTAAATCAGACTTTTTATTCAATCTATAAACACTAGTTTCACCCAAGAAATCTTACTAGCGACCGAAAGGTTGAATTGTGAAATGACACTTACCTACCGAAAACTATTCCACATCATTTTTTTTATGCTATTCTCTTTACATTTTACTACTGACGATATTAATGCATGGGTCAACCCCGTGCCATATTGTTTAAACCGATTTTTTTTCATTTGCGGGGAATTGTTTTTCAAATTCTCATTAAATATATATATATATAGAAAACGGATAAAATATAAATATTTTTATATTCTTTGATAAAATATGAATAAAAAAAGGTTCTATAACTTTTTACGTTAATATTCTCGGAGTAATAAATTTTTAGGTCTTTGAATCTTTGTGTAATTACATACATACGTACCTATGCATAGAGAACCTACAATTCTACATAAATTGAGTCAATAGACTTGTTTTTGTCTTGCTTTTTCTAATTTAATATTCAAATAAGTCATTTCAAGTCAAGTATGTTCGTTAATAACGTGAAGGCAATTAGTCATTTCTGGTAAGTTAGAAGGATATAATTCCTGCTTAGGTTGAACTGGCCAATTTGCTGGATTTAATTTAAGGAAGGAATGCCCTGACCGCCACAAAGATGATTTACCTAACATATCAGCTCTCAAACCTCGTGAAACAAGATCTGCGGGATTGTCCTTTGAGGGAGCATAGCGCCATTCATAATTAGAAAAACCTTCCTGTATCTCTGAAACACGATGACGCACGCACAAACGGCTTTAGTTAACTGGGAATAGTTCTGAGCCAACCCAAAACCATTGTGGAGTCGAACCACAATATACACTTATTAAACTTCTCTTAAGAATCTTGCTTGATAATGGAAGCACTTATAATTTCATAACACAGGACTTTTGTCATAAGTTAAAACTTAATGCTACTTCAACAGATTCTAGGGTGCCTGGTATCAACAATCAACCTCTCAGTAGTTGACAGTCTTGCTCTCTTGCATAGGAGTCTTACGTTAATGACTATAGGACAGACATTGATTGCATAATTTTACCGAACATCACAACACATCTTCCTTCTACGTATGTTAACATACGAAACATACAAATACCATCAGCTTTTTGTTTAGCTGATCCTTCGTTTCACATTCCATCTACTATTGGTATTTTAGCTGGTAAATCGTATTAATATAGGAAAAGACAAGTTTAGGATGGCTTGTGTCAGGTTCTTTCTTAGAAAATAATCTTAATAAATCTATATGTATGTTAAGTAACCATTTAGATTATGATTTCACTCGTTTCGAGCTAGATTCTATTTCTCCCAAGCATAATCTTTCCCCTGAAGAACGCGCATGTGAGAAACATTTTATAAGAACCACAAGGCTTAAATTAGATGATCAATTTATTGTTTCACTGCCACTTAAAGAATCACCCGCAGTCTTAAGAGATTCCTATAATTAGGATGAGCGTAGATTTTTATCTTTGGAGTGTAGATTACATCCAGACCCTGTTATGAAACAATTATATGTAGAATTCATGAAAGAGTACCTCACTCTTGGTCACGTGACAGTATCGAAATTGCATCAAAACATCACTTGTTATTTACCTCATTATGGTGTTTTAAGGGAATCTAGTACGACTACGAACTTACGCGTTGTCTTCGATGTGTCAGCGACTACATAACTGGTAAATCACTAAACGATATTTTAAGAGAACCAACATTACAAGAAGATCTATTGTCGATCTTGTTAAGGTTTAGACAACATAATTACGTTCTGTCCGCTGATATAGAAAAGATGTTTCGCCAAGCAGAAGTCTTCAATGAGCAACACACACTTCAACAAATCTTATGGAGGTTCGACCCCTCTCATCTTATCAAAAGTTATCAACTAAATACAGTTACTTACGGCACATCTTCAGCACCTTATTTAGATACAAAGTTAGGTCAGGAGTCCACAAATCCAGATATAAAACGCGCAAGTTGTCATGATTTTTACGTTGATGATTTTTTATCTGGTCATAGAACTGTAGAAGAAGTAATTTCACTTTGTCAGGGAGTATGTAATGTAAGGTCTTAAAGTTAGCGCAGTTGAATTTGCGTAAATGATATTCCAACAATAACAAAATTTTACTAGCGATATCCGGCTCGAAGGACCATATGATGGGGACAGCGCTCTTGTACACCTTTTGATAGGGAGTACTGCCTACTCTCAGTGACGAAGCTTCCATTAAAGCCGAAAATCCGGGCTTGCCTTATTAAACCTGAATCAATCAATAATATCAACTAATAAAATAACTCGTAAAATGTTTCAAGCTATTTCAAATTTCCCGCGTACTCCACTGTTCGACACATGTCGACCGATGACCTCGTATTGCCTTAGCGATACTGCTGCTGTCATAAAAAAATGAGTTTTAATAGAGCTAATATTTGTCTCACTCGCTCGCGTGGGCTTTTTACGGGGCTTTCGAGAAGACGATCGCTCTCTTTCTAACCGATGGCAAAATATTCTATAATGAAATATAACTACGATTGTATATATAGCAATTAGTATAGAGATTTTAAGCCAGGCTTTTGGGAATAAATTTGTTAAAAGCGGAGGCGCGCGGGCAATACGTTTGCAAGTTCATTTCACGTTTCAATGTTTATTTACTCTGTGTGCTTATCTTAAGCGACTTAATATTACGAGTTCAAAATGTATGCTTTTTTTAAAGATTTTTAATGAAAATGGAGGATAATAGTGTTCCTTGTGATGAATTGAAGTGTGTTAAAGTGATAATCGGAGAGGAAATCTTTAAACTTTGTTGAGATAATACACAAGGTTAATACATAAGGTTAAGAGTGTATTTCAGACTTATCAATTATCGCAATTAAAAATAGTTATTGGTACAATTAAAACGTTCACCAACATTTTACGTGGACGTAATTAAATGTTTCCATAAGAAAGCGAGACGATTCCACTTATCTTATCTCTTATCCATTAGAATATAAATAAATTTTTTTTTAATTTTGTACATAGTTTGTTTGTATTTTGTTCGTGTTTTACTTTTGTTCATGTATTGTATTGGATGTAAATATTTTTTTTCTTTCGCTTAAACAAACCCAAACGGCTTTCTTCAAAGCCACCGAAGCTATGCAATTGCTGATATGTAATACAATCTATCTAGCAGTGGTATGCCTTCTGTGTGCTTTGTTAAACACGTCCTTGACAGCACCGAATATGAAACTGAAGCGTGGAGACAGATCA